CCTGCCGAACCCCACCCGGTACTAGACCCCTTTCTGGGCTTTAGCCTTGTTCTCCACTAATTTTCGGGCTGCTCCCCCCTGCTGTTTCCCCCCCCCTTCGTCTTGATGCGCCCCTCCCCGCCCCCCGCGTCCCACCCAGACTCCTCATTCCCCCCTCCCCGCGCCCCCCTCCAGTCGGCCCCCACTCGTCCCCACCCAGGCCTCTCCACTGTGGCTTTGTTCTGCCGTTTCAAACCTTTTTTGTCGGCCCCCGCTCCTCCCTCCTGGTCGTGGCCCCCCCCCCATTTTCACGCCACCAGGGGGGGGGGATCCCGTTCCCATTCCGCCGATCGGCAACTTATACACGGATCTGTTCCCTTCCCCTTGCCTTAATCTGGCATGCCCCCCGTCCCGTTTCGAGTCATACCCCCCGTTGGCGCTTTTCCCTGGTTCTCCCTGGGTTAGGCCTCACCCTCCAAGAGCAGGCATTGACCACCACGGTCTATCGCATGAAGTAACGCGCGAAAGCTGCCAGTAGGTATTTGCTAGTATCCTTGTTTCCGTCCGCCTTTGATTCATAAAGTAGGTGGCTGGACTTGGGAGGGGCTGTGTGGTTTTTCTTTCTTTCAAGAAACTGATTGTGAATTCCTTCCTTGATTTACATAACATGCATCTTCGGTGCCACTAAACCCTTTCCCCTAGCGTGGCTCGGGCTTCCACCCCTAGCCCTATGTCCAAACACTCCCATCATGATTTTTATTATATTATTTTTTCATTCAAACCCTTCATTTCGTATGCTGATACTTCCTAATATAACCATTTAATATGTGTACATATATGTATTAATCATCCCTTATTTATTAATCATTAATATAGGCCACCCATCTCAATTTATGCACTGTGAGATTACCAAATAACTTTTCGCCCTAAAGATGAACGCCCCTTGCACAATTGTCTTAAATTATCTTCTATGTGTGTGACCCGTAGGCTCTCCTCCATCCCAGCCGTGTGTGGCGCCCATTACACTAATTATCGTCTCACTACCATAACCGGATGGTCCCTAGCAAGACTCAGGCTACCCGATAGATTAGTCGCAAAACAACTAATTGTCAACGATCTGGTATAGTACTCAATTATTTTATCTTCTATCTCAACGAGACTCGGATAGAGAAATAGTATACCTTGTTACCTCGTATATTGTATTCAGTTACGGACTTGGAAGGTACATAACATTTTTAGTTGCAATGAAACTTCTCTCATGGCAAAGGGTGTTTTCTCACGAAAGAGTGAAATTTTGGCAACGCATTTTTTCGCTCCTCTCACCTCCAATGAAATAAACAAATAAGCACACGTATGAGCAGATCTATAGGAATGATTTCAGGCCTTTGCCCGAGCAACAAGCAACTCCATTTTCACACATAATGGAGTCCTAGCAATTCAACCCCACACATTTAGTTTTGGAAAAAGGAATGTCACATATAAGCATAACAGTTTCGTATTGAAGTCATACAATTTAGACCCAACACTGGGTTTGAAAACAAAATGAGTACCTCCTCAACAGCCCTGGTGAGGCAGACTCCACTGCGCATGCTGAGCCTCATATATTGTTGAAGTGCAGATATCAGACGAAACATTGAGGTACACGGTGGACATAATTGTGATGCTGCCAAATAAGTGTTCTATTCTGAGATTGTGATGAGACCCTGAGTGTGCTGGTTTTTTGTAGGCAAGGTGGGGAGTAGGGATTTTGGTGATGTGGCAGGAAACTTCAGGGGTTTAGGCTGGGACAGGTGGCGATTAAGGGTTGGGACAGCAAAGGAATTCAGTTAGGGAGAGGAGGAGCTGGAGGTAAAGGAGGGGAGACAGCAATAGAGGGGGGAAGATTTAGGGAAAATTGGGAGGAGCACCCTCGAAGTTAGCAATTAGGGAGGAGCTGGCCCTCGAAGTCCGATATATGTTTTTCCATTAGTTTCCATTGTTTGTTAGATCCTTGTAAATCTGACGTTGAGATTAGTCCATAGCTGAGTGAATTCTGAAATCTCAATGCATATATACTGTTATTTTGGATGTTTACATGATTTTACAATGAACCGTTGTACTCCTGGTGTTAGTATTTGTGTATGAGTGAGCAAGAGATCTGGGTAGGTTCGCATCAAATGGTATCAGAGTGTTCGGTCATGGGTGGTTGGTACAAGAATGGAAGTTAGAATAGAGAGGTTGAGAGAAGTGTAAAACTTGGGAGAGTTTGGTGTGGTTATGGATGGTTTAATGGAGATGCGAGAATGGATGAGGAGAGGATGAGAAGACGAGAAAAGAAGAGGCAGCGAATTTCTTCGAAAAGACAGAGGTCAAGAGAAAACGAACAGGGACGAAATATGGGCACCGAGCTGAAAGAGAAAACTGGAACGCTGGGGGCTAAGTCGGAACAATCTGGTGGCCGGAAACTAGAGCTTCCCATTTTTCCGGTGAGGATCCTCACGAGTGGATATTCCGAGCTGAACAATATTTTCAGTTAATGGAATATCGAACCAGATCGTCTCACAGCAGCGGCCACGTGTATGGACGACGATGCCGTAAATTGGTACGAGGGATGGATGTTCGAGCTCCGATAACTCTTGGGCAACCTTTAAATGGTCGTTGCTCACCTGTTCAGTGGGGCCACGGAGGGAAGCCCATCGAAGAACTGATGGGGATCCAGCACGGGCACGGTGGGGGAAGACTCGGAAGTCTGAAGCGATCTTTGCTCCGTTGGTTGAAGTGAAAGAAGAGTTTTATGGTGCTTTCTTAATGGCTGGAATCAGAAAATTTGGGCCGAAATCAGGTTAGCCCAACCTATAATGTAGTTCACTTGTTGATTTGGCCCAACAATAGAGAAGAAAAATTGGGCCTGGGAGGACTTAAATTTGGGTTGGACAACATGGGAAAACATTTAATGGGGCATAGGCTTGGACAAACTGAAATTGGGCTTGGGAGAGGGCATGGGCAGCAAACTTGGGGTGGGGCGAGGGCAAGGAACTGGATCAGAGGTGGGTCAAGGGTCCATTTCCCTTATAACAAAAACAAATCGCATGACTCCAGATCTTCCCTTTCCCGACAGTCCAAATATCCAGCAACCCAACGCCGACACGCCGATCTTGGGAGGAGGGCGCGTTCTAATTCCATGCCAACCGCCGGTACTGGAGCGCAAGCTTGGAAGCGCTTCGACGATCGATTCCAACATCCCTCAACTACGAACAATCCTTTTCCGACGAATGACAAAAGTGGAGGAAGATTAGTAAGGAAGTGGGGGCGATGAAGGAGGGGAGAACGGGATGGTGTCGGTAACCAATTCCCTCCTTCCCTTGAGGACAAGGTGGTACTGCTTGGGGCGGGTAATGTGAGACCCGAGTGTGCTGGTTATTGTAGGACATGGTGGGGAGTAGGGGATTTTGGTGATGTGGCAGGAAACTTCAGGGGTTTAGGCTGGGATAGGTGGCGATTAAGGGTTGGGACAGCAGGAATCAGTTAGGGAGAGAGAGAGGCTGGAGGTGGAGAGGGGAAGCCGTGAGGGGGGAAGAATTTAGGGAAAATTGGGAGGGGCTAACCCCGAGTTGCATAGGGAGGCGTGGGCCTCGAAGTCCCGATATTGTTTTTCCATTAGTTTCCATGTGTGTTTGAACTGTATCTGACGTTGAGGTATAGTCCATGCGAGTGTTTCTGAACTTCTCCTGCAATATACTCTGTTTTGGTGTTTCGATATTTACTGACCGTTGTTACTCCTGGTGTTAGTATTTGTGTATGGTGAGCAGAGTCTGGGTAGGTTGCCTCCGATTGCTAAAGCTCCATGGATCATATCATGCAACGTTCCACCCGAGCTGGACTCCACAAACTATAGCTCCTGTGAATGATGTCAGAAACCGTTTTGGTTCCATCGGTGTTTTGGATACGCAGCACACTCTTTACCATTTTCTGAGTTTGCCCAACCTGGAACAAAAAGAAATATAGGTGGTTTGCAAGTTTGAGAGACAAGGGGATACTGTGGCTATTAGATCATCCCAGAGGACTAACTCTCCTATTCTGTGTATGTGAATGGGTAGGCATGCGTAAATAGCATATATTAGGGTATCAAACATGCTCAGAAATCGGAACCTCAGTTTGCGAATGTGCAAACCCAAACAGTCAACTTGTCGTTGCAGGATGTGGAGTGGTTGAAATTAGGCTATGGTAAGCTAAAACCAGGAAGTCATAGGAAAAGTTGGATATAGAGGCAAGCAACCAAAGGACGAGAAGCATATCCAAGTGCAGTCAACCCACAAAGGAATAAAGAAACATAATAAAAAAAGGTAATAAGAAAGCAATTCATGCATATCAAGGCTACAGAACTACCTCTATGCATTGAGCATAATTCATTTATTTCATCAATTTCAGGGGTGCTCAACTTCTCGGTTCTCCCGGCATATTGTCTTTGTTGACAATACTTGCCGAAAACACCACTCTCAAGATCCCCAAGAGCAATTGGATGTCTCCAGCAGCACAGTTTCTCGTTCTTCTCCTAAAATGCATTAACAAGTATGTGATTTACAGGCCATAGAAATCAGAAGACCCTACCAAACCAATGCGTGTCTAAGGAAGAGAAATTCTACAAAGAAAGCCAAATTATCCCTCCAAACCAGTGAGGAGCCTACGAGCCCAGATATCAAATACACAACAAAAAGATTTAAGCATACTTGGAACCCTGAAGTTTCTTTGATGCCTTTCTCTTTTTGAAAACTCTGTCGACATCAGGTGTATCTTCCAACTCAATTACATCCAAAGTCTTGTCATGTTCATACTCTTCTGATTGACTTTGATAGCCACCAGTTTCCTTTTGAAATTCCTCAATTGCGAGAAGTTTCACACTCGGAAGTGTGGGTTGCTCCAACTCATTCACTTCATTGTACAGCTCAATGGTTTCAATGGGTGGAACCGCCTGTTACAGAAGAGTAAATCAAAAAGACTATTTTTTTCCCCTTTTGCAAAAGAAAAATTAAAGCAGAAACAGACCCAATGATATCATAATCCTTCAAAATAGTAGACTGAAAAGGTGGCAAAACAAAGCTATCCATCTGCAACAAAGATAAAAAGAAAAGCATAAGAAAGTAGAAATTGGAATTGAAATTGAAAAAAGAAATGGGAAAGTGAGGGAAGGTTACAGAGAGGATGAGGCCAAGAGGAGAAGATTGTTGGAGGAGGAAAATGCCAAGGATATAACCGCCGAAGCTTTGTGGCTTGGCTGTCATGCGACTGTGACCGGGATTTGTAGTGGTGGACTCTTGCTCGTGGTGGCTGCCGACGAAGCTTTGTGGCTCAGCTGTCGTGCGACTGAGACCAGGATTCATGGTGGTCGAGTCCCGCTCATGCTGGCCACCATCAAAGCTTTGTGGCTCAGCTGTCAAGCAACTAAGATCAGGATTCGTGGTGGTGGACTCCTGTGAGTGGTGGCCACCATCAAAGCTTTGTGAGAAGGGGGTTGTAAGACTAGTATTATTGAATCAAAATACTACCAAAATTCAGGCTGTTTAAATTAAAGCTTACATCACTCTCACACATCATGACGTGGCATAGGCCATCACATCTGCCACATCACCCATACCGCCACATCACTTCCAAAAAAATCCCTAACCTTAAATTTCAAATTTCACTTTTCCTAAATCAAATCCTAAACCAAATTCATTTTCCCTAAAATACAAACCCTCAAAAAAATTAAATGAACTGACAAAACAGATGCTGCAATAAAATCTATACAGATTTGAGACAGATTTAGATCTAGAAAACACAAACTCATAGCTTAGTTAACAGCCTATAACTAAGCTATAAGATAACACTGTTTGATAACTTTAGGGTGATCTTACACGAGTCCATTTTCAGACCATGCTGCTTCATAGATTTTAATGGCAATTTGAAATCCCATATTGACCAAATCTCCATGGATCATCGTTATAACAGCTGCATATGTAACACCAGACCATATTTCTCTCAACTGCAATGTTGTCATCTCAACCATTCCAACAGGTAGATCCCATTGACTGGCCCCTGCTGTGCATCCATATTCTCTAAGACAGTATAGTTAAAAACCTTCTCTAATGCTATTCTTGCTTTGTCTTCATCAACTATCATTGAACGAGCACATGCTCGTGCATAACTACGTTAGAGACACACCTGGTAAGTTCTAGTCTTATTAGATTTGAACTAAAAAGAACATATATTCAGAAAAAGAAACATGTGAAACACAATAAATAAAACAAGATTTATCAGGCCTGGATATTTGAGAATATCAATGAATGAAGTTAATCAGTTGCAACATACCATCATCCAGTAAAACTGATCAGCTTGATTAGATGAACTTGAGCGGCTACCATTATTGTTGTACTTGAAGTAAGAATCATTCCACGATTTCTCAAATACAACTTTTGCTTACTGAAAATTTGCACCACAAATAATCCTCAAACCTTTTAAGGCCTACTTCATGTGCAAATACTGACGCAGCCTACAATGCTGCTACCTCCACTATATGCACTTAAAACAGAGACAGATCACGTATCGTATGTCTGATCAGCGAAGCAATCTTCTCAATCATCCCTATAACCATCCCTATCAAATTCAAACAGATGAAAGTGTTTACTGAACCTTCTTCTTACCGCAACCAAAATAGAGCATTTGGGCAGCTGGATGAACTTTTGCAGGATTCTGCTCTGAAAAAAGTTTAATACTCACTAAAATTTTATCACATAAACTTTAATTTTGCTTTTAGACTGGAAATTGAGGAAGCTGGTTCAAACATTCACGATAATTTTTGGCCTTCATTAGTAACTGCATGACTAAGGACTTTGTACATTCAGTCGGCTTCACATTTCTCTCCACCATCTTATGAAGGAGTTCAACAACTTTTGGTATCTTATTATTCTTGAGGAAACCAAAGATAAGCGTATTAAACGTGACTACATTTGGAGTACAACCTTTTTCCTCCATGTATGACAACAACTCATTTGCCTTTTCTAGTTGTCCCTTTTTACACAGCCCATTGATCAAAATGGTATATGTTACAACATTTGGCACTATGTTTTCATGAAGAGAAAATTTCTGAAATATGTCCCATGCAGCTCCAAATCTCCCTGTTCTGCATAATCCATCAATGAGGGAACTCAAACCTTCAATGCTTACTGCAAACTTATTATTTACTAGAGTATTAAACAATTCCACTGCTTCCAAAACACATCCATTCTTGCAAAGTCCATCAATGAAAATGCTGTATGTCCAAGAATCAGGTAAAACACCATTAACTCGCATCTCACCAACTAAATTCTGAGCATCTTTGACATTAGCTTTAAGAAAAAGGCCAGTTAACAAAGTGTTATATGTAATAGTTGTTGGCCTAATCCCTTCTGAAATCATCTCTTGATAAAGACTAAGAGCTTCATTGACTTCTTTATTCTTACAATACCAATTGATTAAAGTATTGTAGCAAACAACATCACGTCTATACCCCTTTCTGGTTATGAAATCAAACAACTCCCTTGCATCAGCAATTCTATCTAACAAGCAATAACCATTCATTAAAATGTTCCAAGTATAAATATCAGGAACCACACCTCTTTGAATCATAGGTTCCAAAAATAATTGTCTAGCCTTCTCAACCAATCCAGCCTTACAAAGACCATCAATTATACTATTATAAGTAACAACCTCTTGCCTACAAATAACACCAGATTTTTTGTTCCCCTTAGCAATTTCTTCATGTAACTTAACAGCAACATTTATCTTCCCTGTTTTAACCAATCCATCAATCAAAGTCCCATAAGTAATCAAGGTAGGCCTACAACCAACAGCAACCATTTTTTTAAACAATTCCATAGACTCCGTAATCTTTCTCTCTACACACAGACCTTTGATCAAACAATTAAAAGTCACAGCATCTAGGCTGAAACCCTTCTTCAAAATCTCCCCCAAAACGGCAAAACTATCACAAACCCTTTTAACATTACACAAGCAATTGATCAAAACGGTCAAAGACGTTAAATCTGGAGACAGCCCAGTTGCTTTCATCCACTTATAAAGCGAAACCACTTCATAATAATGCTTCTTCTTTGCAAGTGCACTAAACAAAGTAGTGAATGAGGAAATTGGAGAAATGGGTTGCGAATTAATCATGTAATGAAAAAAGTAGAATGCTTCATTCACAGTAAAGTTACCTGATCGACAATTTTCTTTGAGGAATTTAGCAAGTGAGGATCGTTCAAGGGGTTTTTTGAAAGAATACAAAACTTCATTTTTGGAGCTTGAAGTTGTGAGGCTGTGTAAGTGAGTTAACAAACATAAAACATTAACTTTCAGAGACGGGTTTTGAGAGATTGAAGACGAACGAAATGGGGATCTGAAAGCCATGTATGAAGGGTGTTTTTGCGGGTTTTGTTAAGGTTTCTTTAAAGTAAGGACAATGCAAAATGCAATTGCAAATGCGTTTAAGAGACGAATGTTTTGATAAAGATCACAAATAACCCTTAAGTTTCGTGGTGGATGCTGCAGATGAGTGGACGGCGGCGAAAATGGAAGAGTGCGGCTGTGGTGCGGGACGTTGCAGGTGAGTGGATGGCAACGAAGATGGAAAAGTGCGGCTGCGGTGCGGGACGTTGCAGATGAGTGGATGGCGGCAAAAGATGGAAGAGTGCGGCTGTGTGCAGCCGAGATTGGACAATTTGGTTACTACAGTTTCAAAAATTGAAATGGAATTGGGATAACTTTTAGATTTGTATTTTAGGCGAAATGAATTTTGGCAGAGAGATTTGATTTAGGGTAATCCAAAATTTGAAATTTACGGTTAGAGATACCAAATGCAATATATACAAATATAGAGATATATATATAGCCAAAGACTCATATATTAATCATAACAAACAGGTTCACTTAAAAAAAGAGGAAATAATTAACTCGATAGAATAATGCTACGTGCACTAACCAATATGTACTAATCTAAGTATTAACATTGGAAATTTAAAATTTTCTTTTAGAGGGAATTTCAAATTTCCAATATTAGTACTTGGATTAGTACACATTGGTTAGTGCACATAGTTTTATTTAACTCGATATAATATAGCTAAACAGTACAAATAATTATTGAGATCATAAAAAACTGATAGAAAAATTAGATATTTGTTGATACAGAAATTTGTACCAACTAGTATGATCCGATCGACTTTCACGGGATCAGAACTGGTGTGTACGTAATTACGGATGATCAGCGATGAGCAAGTAATGAATGCAATAAAGTAAAGAGTAAAGAGATTTTTAAAGTTGTTCAACGAGATAAACTCTTAAGCCTACGTCCACTGTTCTTGTATTTACTGTCAGAGTTTACAATAGAAGTTCTAGAAAAAATTTCTAACCCTTTTTTCATCGTTTGAGGGGGTTTATATACTGTGTTTGTACAAAAGAAATAGCGAAAATAAAAGGACTACAATTAAACTGAAATGCAACTCCGATATTCTCGCGATTAAGCGTTGTGATTGAGCAAAGATTGCTATCAATCTGATTCCTCTTGAGATATCTAGGATCTGGAGTTATCTGGGAATTGGTTGAATGATCGCACAGATTTTTCATGACTAGCTTGTGCTAGATCGAGCTATGGTTTCACGAGCTTATGCTGGGTCGAGCTATGACTAGACGAGCTTATGCTGGGTTGGACAATCAGTGGAGTCGAGCTGGTTCTGGATCGAGTTATACCCTCGTGGTTGCCCGAGCTTAGTGAAAAAACACACACAATATCTGCCCCCAGTGTTTGATGCTCGTTTCGAGCTTCGAAGACTATCGCTCGATTTGATATCAAGCTCCACATCATCAGTAAGTCACTGGACATGGGTTCGGTCGAGCTCTAAGGGTCTAACTCATGCCCGATCGACGTACTCCACACTTGGATCTTCTATCTTCTGTGATACCTAATAAACTCAAAATATGAATAGTTAGGACAATTATGTAAATTCCATGCGGTAATGTCGCATTAAATGTGGTAGCCTTTGGCGGTCACGTTTCATTGCATGTGGGAGACTACAGTTGTCCACGCGTGGAGTCGAGGCGACGTGCAGCAACATTTATGATTACAGTAGTCTAATGGTTCGTCGCCCGTCGCGGATGGATGACACATGGCCACGTCCAAGGGTTGAGATTGCTAAATGAATGGAGGGTCGAGATTCACTGTAGATCAATAGTTACGATTGAACCCCGCCTTTTCGTCTCTCATGCAAGCCACCATCAAAGCAAGCGAAGTCGTTAGAAACTTACTCAACTTATGAAAATTCTCTAACGTCTTTACTTATTTTGTTGATGCTTCATCGTCGTCACGATGCTCTTTCCTACGAGTTCTTCCCCTTCTCTCGTTTCAGAGGCTCCTTTTCCCTCTCTTTAGTTGTTTTTCCGATTTTCACAGCCAGGGTGGCCATTGTTGTGGCTGCATTGAGTTTTCTAAGGCTTTACTAGGGTTTCTTAGTGTGTCTCCAACTGTCTTGGGTTTAAGGAGGGTTTATCGAGGTGGCCGCGGGAAACTTGGGTAGGTCACGTGCGTTCATTGTGTGCCATGAGCTATCTTGGGTGCCTGAACTGAAAGTAAGCATGGATAGGTCACCAAGTTTTTCGAGCTTTGACACATGTTTGCTTCTGTTTCAGGTACCCAGAAGCGAGCTATAATCATGTCTTCTTCCAGTAGTCACATGATTAATCGCATGTTCGACTCACTTGTGGGCTCGGCAATCCTCGAGAGTTCAGTCCTTGAGGTTTCTGAGAAAATCATCATACGAAGCTCAGACCCCAACGCAGCGGGCTCATCCAATTATGCCTCTGTATAGTTGGCTCAATCCAAGCGATCTCCAGTTCATAGGCTACGAAGGGAACCACAATCCTTGATTAACATTGAGGACCTAAAGCACATAAGAGAGATTTATGCACTGCCACTCAATTTCATGGTTCCAGGGGACTTTTCTCGGAAGAATCCCCTACCCGGATGGGTGGTGATCTATGAGACCCTCTTGAGATGTGGGGTATCTATTCCCCCTCATCGTTTTATTGACAGCATTCTGAGACAGTTCGACATCATTCCTCTCCAATTGTCCGCGAACTCATACGTCATAATCATAGGTCTGTGTATAGCATACATGATCGCTGATCTGGGCGAGCCATCCATTAAGGAGCTCGTCTATCTGTATAGACTAAAGAAAGGGCAAGACCAGATGTACTACCTTTCCAAGGCGAGGAAGGTACGTTTCAACGGGCTGGTTGATGTCCCAAAGACTGTCTCGGATTAGGACTCCCAATTTTTCTTTTATGAGGCTCGAGAGACTAGTGTTTTCTCTTCAGAAGTGAGTAAGACTTCGATTTCCAGTGTGTGAGAAGATTGCTTTTAGACTGTATGTTTAAGTTAATTGAGTTGCTTTGTTTTGTAGTAAATGTCGAGCAAAACTATCTCCCTGCTGCGAGCTTGAAGAGGCTCCAGCATTTCAGTGACCTTTCCAGCAGACAGTGCAACGTTAACGAGATCATTTCGCTTCCTCACTTAAAGGCATATGGCTTTTGTGAGGACGACGCTGAATTTCTTACCATTCTCGAGAAAGGTAAGTTATCGCTTGCTCTCGCTTATTTTCCTGCATAGATAGGTCGCTCATTGTTTGCTTCTCTTTCTTGTAGAAATGTGGGCCAAGAAACCAAAAGGCCTTAAGAAGAAGGCAGCGGCTTTTGCGGCTGCCAAGAAAACACCGATTGCTTTGGTGACGAAGCAGCCCACTAACATTGCTAGTGTGAAGAAGGTGAACTTAGGAAAGGCCCAAGTGTGAAAAAGCCCACGACTACCTCGAAGGTAGTTAGTAGGAAAGGTATATTTGAGCCCTAAAAGGGGCCAGTAAAGAAAACACCCAAGCTAACTTGGGGCTCAGGAAAACAGAAGGCACCCGAGCAGTACGATAGCTCAGGCAAGAAAAAGTCGACTGAGACTCAGGGGGGTTCAAGAAAGTAGAAAGTGGCTAAGCAGTAGGTTGGCTCGGGCAAAGAGGTCATCATGTAGGCTAGCGGCCAAAAGAAGTATATGGCTAAGGACTTGGCCAAGAAGAAGTTTGCCTCTACGGGTGAGGCTACTACTGCGGGGGGAAGTGAGTCCAACTCGTCTCGGTTGGGAGGCAAGAAGATGGATGAAGCAGCTCAAGTTGTGGTCAATACATTGATTGACCAACTCCCTAATCATATCAGCATTGGGACCACGACGGCAAGGGATGGCGTCACCCCGCAAACATTCGCGGGCGTTAGGGATTCATCTCCCATTGAGATGCTAGCTTGGGTGTGCAGCTATATGGAAAAGGTATTAATAGTTTGCCTTCTTTATTCTTTTATGCATGCTATCAGTATTTCTTGCTGCCTTTCCATCCTTTTTTTAGGTTGCCATGGCAAGCAGGCTTCTCTAGGATGAGTGTTATCCTATGCTGGAAGGCACTCACAAAGGATGGTAGCAGGCAGAGATGATGAAAGAGGATGCCTTAGCCAGGACCCAGATTGGGGAGAAGGTGAAGGAAGCAAAGCAAGCTGAGCTTTAGCGGCTCAAGGAGAAGATGGCGACCTTTGAGGTCAAGGAAAGGGAATTCCTTGGCAAGATAAAGGTGAGAGTGTAACACCCACATCAAGGTACGTAAGTTTATTTATGCCCTAATACCCTTAGTTAGATTTCTTTGAAGTTACCTTAGACAAATGTGAAGAAAACCCCTTACAACTTCATTGGGGGTAAAATGGTCTTTTCGCTCCTAATTAGATGAAAAAGTGGGAAGTGAAAGGAAGCAAAATAATGTGAAGAAGGTAATAGAAATGAGGGTATTCTGGTAATTGACTAAAGGATATAGATGGGATTTTATAGAAATTGCAAGGGCAAAATGGGAATACATGGATATAATATTAGATATAAGGTTTCATTTGAAGAAACCCTAACATATCTTCACCCCTTGTTCATGCCACCCTCATCCCATTTTTCTCTCAATTTTCTTCACTAAATTTCAAAGGGAACTCATAGGATTTGGCTTGGATTTTTTTAGATTTTCAATCCTAAAGCATCCAAAGGTAAGATTCTAGCACAAGGAGTGTGATTAAACTTTAAAGTTTTAAATTCTTATGGTTTTTATATGATTTAGGTCCAAGAGAAAGAGACTTTTAGCAAAAGGAGGTAATATCACACATTCAAGGTAAGCAAACCTAATTTTAGACTTGATTTGAGCAAGACTTGTGTAGAATGATTCTTGCATGTTTTTATGTGATTGTATGCGAGAATTGTTGGCTGTTTTTGATGTTCAATGATGTGTAATTTCTAGCCATGAAAAGTAGTGTATGAGTATGTGGTGATTTGGTAAAGTTATGGAAGAATTAGTGTTGAAATTTTGAAGTGTTGAGATTTGTTGAAATCGGCCAGGTTTATGGCGATAATTAGTGAGTTTTTGCTCAAATTTTGGTGGATTTAGAGAGATGTGGAAGTGTAGCCAACATAGTAGTTGCATGTGCATATGAAGTGTCTGATGAAAATCTAAAGAGAAAATGCATGCATGAGTTGGCTAAACCCTAAAGAAGAAAGGGTTAGAGAAAGGCAAGAATTGAAGTAGGAAGATTATGTTTTGGGCTTAACCAAGTGCAAATGTTAGTATTCAAGGGTGCATATTGTTATGCCAAAATTTAGAATATCACTTGGTCATGTTAGTTCCATGAGGGAAATGGCCCTTAGTGTCTGGTTTTAGTTACATGAACCTTTACTACTTCTTGAATAACACATGAAAGTGTTAGAAAAGAATTATATGTTAAAGTGTTCTT